GTGTGTGTGTGTGTGTGTGTGTGTGTGTGTGTGTCTATATGTGTACACATACACACACACACACACACACACACGACTTTGGGCATACGGTTTCCCTCTGCACTTCAGTTTCTCATCCGTAATGCAGGGATAATAATAGTACCTTTCTCAAAATGCTGCTGAGGAGATGATGTAACATGGATAACATATTTGTAATGTCTGGCACACAGTAAGCATTATTAACATCAACTGTTATCTACTACCTAACATTCCAACGCTCCCATCCTAATCCATCCATCCTTAATGTGGCAACAAGAACTCACAAGAGTGTGAAAAACAGAGCTCAAGAACTGTTTCTTCATAATGGCTCACTTTAAGGGGCGTCTGGGTGGCTCAGTCAGTTAAGTGCCCAACTCTTGGTTTCGGCTCAGGTCATGATCTCATGGTTCGAGAGTTCAGGCCCCTCATCGGGCTTTGAGCTTGGGATTCTGTCCCCCTCTCTCTCTGCCCCTCCCCTGCTTGCGCTTGCTCTCTCTCTCTCTCAAAATAAAGAATAAACTTAAAAATAATAATAATAATGTTTCACTCTGAGGATGCATATAAATAAATCTGTAGTGTGGTGCTATGGTTTCAGAAAAATACTTCTGCTCTAAAGCCTTGCTACCCAAAGGGATAAGGACCAGCAGGCATTGGCATTACCAGGGGGCTCGCTAGATGTGCAGATAATCAGATGTTTTAATCCCCAGGTGGCTCCTGTGCAGGTTAAAGGTTGAGAAGCAATACTCTCAAGAACAAGACCAAAAACCTATAAAGTAATGTGAACACGTAACAAATATAAGTAAGACACTGCTGAAATACATATGGGTTACACAGCCAAACCAAACACAATCCTTTGTTACTGGAAAGGATTAGAACCGTAATAAAAAACAAAATCTACAAAAAAAAAAAAAAAAAAAAGGTTTCCTTACCTAATGTTAAGGTATGTTAACATCTGCAGGTTTTTAATAGCTTCAGGAATGGTTTTGATGCAATTATGATATAAATTTAATGTTTCAAGAGGTGCAAATAACCAAACATCAGAAGGAATTTCTGTAAAACGATTTCTCGAAAGATCTGAAAAAGAAAAGTAGTATTTGAGTATCAAACATAAACCTGTATCTATTAACAATTAACAGAATTATTTTCATACTTGCTGAATCACTTAGAACCTAAGCAACTACTTAAAATATCACAAAATATGGGGCTCCTGGCTGGCTCAGCCGGTACAGCATGTGACTCTTGATCTCAAGATTGTGAGTTCAAGCCCCAGTTGGGTGTAGAGCTCACATACATACATACGTACATACATACAATATTATAAAATATTATCCAAAAAGGCAAAAAAAAAAACCCATGTAGAAACATACTCATTTAAAGCTTATTTATTAACAAATTGTACTTGATACGCTTTGATAGCTTTAAAATTTATCTTTTAAAATACCAATGAAGAATTCTCTCCGATCCTTTCAAAAACACAAAACGTCTTCCGCTGATCCCACATCCTCCTCCACCTCTTCCTCCTTCACAGCCAAACTTACATAAATCTACAACACATCTAAATTTCTTACTTACCATGCATTTCTCAACCCACTGTAATTTTGTTTCTATTCCACTTTCATGCTCATCAAGGTCACCAACAGCCTCCATATCACTAATGACTCATCCACCTGGAAACATTTCCTGTCTCTTGGCTTAGAAGCCTACATTTCTGCATCACTTCTTATCATCTCTCTGGCTACTTATTAGTCTCTTGCTAGATTTTCCCCTGTCTGTATTGTAAACGTCGATGTTCCTAAGAGCTGTGACAAGATATTCTCTCCATCTTAAGATATACACTTTAGCGGATGATTCCACCCAGTCCCAGGGCCAAAATAATCTTTATATACCGACAAGTTTCAAATTAAAGCTCTGTGTCAACACCTATGTTCTGATTGTCAGAACTTCTCTTGATAACTCTCAAGCACCTCAAATTCTACAAAATCTGTACAGATTCTGTAAAAATCCGAACTGAAGATCTTCTTCCTCACATCTGTTTCTCTTATCTCAGGTAATGTCACCAACATCCTCCTGTTGAGTTGCACAAGCCAGACACCTGGTATTCATTCTTGATTCCTTCCTCTCCTAAATTATTCCCCATACACACAAATATACTTCCATTCATTTCAATTTTCACAAAAATAAAATCGTGGAATTATTATAACCATTACACCTCCTTTAAAGGTTTGTTAAATGGCATTTTGAAAAAAACTTAGGACATCATGTGGCAGGTTGAAAAAAATACCCTAAAAGCGTTTCTTAAGTGAAGCACTACTGACCTTTTAGGGGGCATGACGATTTGTTGTGTGAGGCTATCCTGGGTGTTATAGGATATTTAGCAGCATCCCTGCCATCTATCCATAAGATGCCATTAATACCATCTAATCATGGCAGCCAAAAAATGTCCTCTGGGGTTCAAACCCCCCTACACGTGTTGAGAACCACTGCTACCTCATCAGAGAAGTTCACTTTGCTTACATTAATTCATTATACTTATTTGGTTAAAAACATAAGAATATTATTTATCTGTGTCAGGGAGAACATCGATAGTGTACCTTCACCCACCATGTATCATTTAGCATGCGATCTGCCCTCATGAGAAGAACAGCCTCCTATCAATGCTCAACTTCCTCACTCTGAAGAACGAGACCCATTTACTTAGCAATACAGTAGATTCCTATTTGGAATACTAATATACATGTATTAATATATGTTTGTGTGTGTATAAACACGTACTCACCTAATGTAAAATTTTATAATAGGCAAAAGAAAACATTAGTTATGATTATTTGAGGATTAATTTGGAAACTTCTTCCTACAACCGTAAGATTCTGAATGACTAAATAAAAGGATAGACAGAATTACTAGAAACCAAAATCTGAACTTGAAACAGAAGTTTCTCAATATCCTGGCTTACTTCCTCTGGATACCCAAGCATCATGGAGGACAAATGAATTCATTATTTCTTTAGTTTAGGATGTTTCTTTTACATTTAGGGTTCTACCTCTTGCTCTTGTAACTTCAGAATCCCAAGAGTTGAAAATTACGGTTTACAATTAATTTTAAATCCTAAAAACAAACTTTGCCTAGTTCATTATTCTGTATAAGTATTATATACCCATAAATAATACAGTGGTCCTAGAGCTAGATGATGGAAGCTTCAATTAAGATTGCAAGAATAAGGATAAGAAAATTAGGTAGAATTTGAAATGTATCTTGGCATTAGTACTTAACAGGGATTGGGCAAGTGATTGTCTATGTGGGATACATAAGAGGCAAGAATCAAGGATGGCATCCAGGACTCTGGCCTAAGCAACTAAAAATGATGCTACTTAATAAAAGAGGTGGGGGTAGAACAGGATTTTTGGTTTTCTGCTGGTGGAAGTTTTATTTTGTTTTTTGAGGCAGAGGTTAGAATCGAAGATTCTATTTCATATCTGTATAATGTGAGATATCTGAAAGAGAGCCAATGGAGGAGTTAGTCAGATGATTATAGATCTCAGAAATGAGGTCTGGGATGGATATATAAAACTGAAAGTGGTGGGAACGTGGTCAGTACTATAAAATCATAGAAATGGAAGACATCACCAAACATCAGAGTATGGAGCTGGAAAAAGCTCAAGAATGGGCCATCAGGATAGCCAATATTTACAAGCTGAGTAGAGGGGGGGAAAGCAAGCAGAGAAGACTAAAAATAATGGTCAAGAGAAAGAATGCTCTAAAAAGTGACAGAAAAAAAATATCAAAATTACTATTTGTTCAGCTACAAGGTAAAAGCAATCATAATCCTATTCTTGATTTGTTTTATCAGCAGACAAGCTAACTGTTGGTCTGATGCGTAACTGTAGCCCCAAACATAAGAGAAACAAAACGAGTGTACATTTATTTCCTGACAATATAAAAAAGCCAAAATATCAGTATTAATAAAAACAATGATTTTAATAAAATAATTTAAATACTATGAACACATTATTTTAATAAGTTACATATTATTGTGTGAGGCTTTATGTTCTTTCCCCTCTAAAAAAAAAGATTATTTAGTTAAATTACCAAGTAATATTGAGAGTTCCCTTAGGGAATTTAATTAAATTTGCAATAATAACCTATTTTCTGGATGAGCTAATATACTTGCTTAGTAAACACCACTTAAAATTACAATTAATTATTCTAATTTAATTGAGTGAAATCAAAGCATAATAAACTCAAAATTAAAACTCAAGCCATTATCAAGCCCTTAATTAAGAATATCTTGTTCTAGGGTTTTTCAGATTTTAAATCTCTATAAACACCCATTCTAGGAATTCGGTAAACAGAATAACAATGTCAAAAGAAAAAAATACGACCAAGGAAAGAAAGAAAGGGAATAACACAAAACAATCTGTATCTCAATTTCTTGACATATCACACACTAACAGCAGCTCACATTTTCCTTCAAAAAAGTACAAATGGACTTTTAGATAGATACAATGGATAAAATTCTAACTTCTAAATTTTTCATCTTGCGACGTACAATGAAAACATAAAGGAATTTTTACAACATTCAAAATCATTTAATTAACACGTACAGTTGGGCACCTAGACTAACATGACTGGTAACGAACATACTCAAGAAACACATGCAGAATTGGTATCGTATTTAATACGGTTCCATCCAAAGATGAGAAAACAAACTGTTAATTTATTCCTTATGGGGACGTTCATCTCACAACAGCCTTATAAAGCCTGCCTTCTTTGGGGGTAAACGGGACTTGGGAAAAGATAATTATAAAGATGTTCCTGCTTCCCCCCCCACACACACACACAAAAGAAAACTAAAATTCGTTCCGTATCTTCCTGAAGTGAGTTGAATGGTGCCCCTCCAAGACACCAGGCCCTGATTGCTGTGAACGCTTACGCGGTAACATCGTGCAGATATAATTAAGAGTCTTGCACTGAGGAGACTAACCTGGATTGTCCAGGTGGGCCCTAACTTCCCCCACAGGCATCCTGATAGGAGGAAGGCACGGGGAGGTTGGACACACACATAGGAGGAGAAAGCCGTGTGAAGATGGAGAGAGAATTGGAGCGATGCAGCCAAAGAATGCCAGCAGCCGCCAGAAGCTGCAAGAGGCAAGGAAAGAATTCTCCTGTAGAGCCTCTGGAGGGCGAACAGCACTGCTGAAATCTTGATTTTAGCCCCATAAGACTCATTGCCTATTCTGGCCTCCAGAACTGTAAAAAAAAAAAAAAATAAGCTTCTGCCGTTTTTAAACCACCAAGTTTGTGGTGATTTGTTACAGCAGACACAGGAAACTAACACACTCCTCATCAAAATAGTTTATCAGAAGTAATGAGAGAATGCCTGCAATTTTTCTTTTTTAAATGAAATAGCTGCACATTTTTTCTTCCTTAAGCAGGAAGGTGATATCTCAGTTAATTAGTGTCCTTGGAGATAAGCACCTTTATAACCACTGAATTATTTTTCTTTTGTCTTGGTTTTAATCATAAATCATTACCAAGCAGCACTGGCAACAACTCAACAGCAGACAGACTGCTGTGTACTGTTTCCTGCCTTTCTTCAAACCTCTCCCGGTAAAACTGCGAGGAGCCTTTTAGAGATGTTAATAGGTCATTTTACATAATCTGATCTAAATTATGTCCTGTATCACTCTTGGGCTTCAGAGGTCAAGGAAGCCAGGGGAAGGAAGGAAAGGAGTCAGATGGAATGGAAATCTGTTTGCTGTCCCCCAAGCTGCAGCCACAAGAGCCACAGATGGGTCCATATGCCAGCCAGTGCCATTCCTGGCCCACCGGCTGGCATTCCTGCCAAGGTATAGAAAACGGCTTTCAGAAATTATACTATTATACCATAGTAATTATACTAATTATAGTTTGATCTTATTCCATGTACAAAAGAGTGTACGGTTTTTGTCAAATTGTTGAAATTTAAACGAAGATGCGTGAGTCTTCTTTAGGTGATATTTAATAATATAGATTACTATAGCCCCTCTTATTAAAAGAATCCTAGATAATATCTGAAAATCTGACACATTTCTACC